ACATTTCAGACCAAATCTGATCATTTCCAGGCCAAATTCATTTTCCAGATGTGTGACAAATAACCCTCACACATACAGACCATTAGATCCACACACTGCCCATAAGCTTACCCCCAGTCTACATGCAGCTGGCTGAACAGTTTTTCATAGGAAGAAGGTCCTATCTGCCCTTCTCCAGTTTCAGTGAGTTCTTTCTCCTCCTGTATTCTAGTGAGAATGGAAGCAAAGAGGAAATGACGAACTCTAGTAATAAAAAGGAACAAAGCGAAAGGAGAGAGAAATACTCACGGAGATGGAGAAGAAACACTAATGAGAAGCTGAGATGAAAAGGAAAGTCAAGACAGTTAAAGTCTGTGTACCTGAGCTTTTACAGTGTATTTTTTTTGGCGCTGACTGCTACCGTCCAATGCCAAAAAACACAGTGTGGCAGAATGCTGTTACCTACCCCAATGAAAAGAGAACAGTGTAACTGATTTAACTGAGGGGAAAAAACAAAAACAAACAAAAAAACAAAACCCTGACTGATCTGGGGGGAGGAGGACAAACAACCACAACATCAAAATCAAAATCAGTCTGACCCAGTACAGTCATGTTCTTGAAATTTCTCCTACTTGGCCCAAAACATTGGCTCTCACATATAAATAAAGCATCCAGTGATATTTGAGGTTATTCTGAACCGAATTTACTAAGTAATGTAGTAAATTACTTCAAACATGGAAAAAATGTCATTAATTCAGCATGTGGATTTCCACCATAATCATCGTTCACTGGCCTTGTGATAGCTTCCTTGTGATAGCTTTCCTCTGTACTTTCTATGGTCCCAGTGTCATTTTCAAATGCCACAATGTATGTTTCTGACCAAATGTGAAATTACAGCTCTTATTCAACAGAAATCAGAATGCAAGAAACAGATGGCAGGCAAATATATTTAGCTTTAGCAGGAAATACCAGTTTACAGCCAAAATTGCTCTTCAATATCTAAAAAAATTATGTTAAGAAAAAAAATGTATTCAACTGGCAGCAACCTGAAAAGCAACCGTTTTAAGCATACTTCAGAAGTACAATTCCCCTTTAAAAAAAATAAATGAATCACCAAGTATCTGTTTCAGCAGACACAATCCTATCTGTCTGCAGTTGCTCTTCTAAAGAAAGAACTTCAAATTCTACATTGAATGATCAATGAGTCCAGTGAGAACTAATGAATCCTTAACCACACAGAAAAAAAAAGTTGGAAAAATTCTTCAGACTTGCACAGGTGTGCTTAGAAGATTGCAATCTCACTTAGGTGAGGCATGGCTCCCTGTGGTTTCATGACTCTATGAAAAGTTGTTGAGAAATACCACATCTGAGCTGTTCCAGAGTACTTTTCATAATTACATGATTTGCACAACAGTGCTGAAGGTGTGGCACACCATACAAATTCAACTGATTCAGTCTGTGACACTTTGCAGTCTTGCCAATGCCTCCAGCTACTCTGCTTCCAACTTCAGCAGAAGTTTCAGAAATTAAAGTGCATGGAAAGACTGCACTCCAATTAGAATTAGCAGACATCTGCATGCAGTATATTCACATGACAGCACTGATTAAAAGCCATTTTCAGTTTCTGTACAATTTCTACATTATATATACATCTCCTCTCCTCTTAAATGCCCAATTACAACAACAACAAACCGCCTCTGGATCTGCAAAAAGGCATTTTGTGCTCTCTTTTGACAGTCTTAAAGCTCCTCAAAGAAAATGCACGCTGCTTTCTGCATCACTTACTGTACAGAGCACGCTTGACCGGATTAAATACTCAGGGGAAAGCATGCCATTTTCTAAACAGGAGTGCTTAAACTCTCGGACTTCCAAACTACACAACAGTAACATAACAGACATTCCAGAGACACATAAAAATGAACATACACCATTACTCTTTAATTTGGAGCAAAACCGCTCCTATTTGGATCAATGCACTTGTCAGTGCTTCCCCTTACTGCTTTTTTAAGTCTTCCCTCATTACAAGGCCTCCACAACTACTCTGTCAGGTAGCTTCAAGGGCAGTTGATTTAGGCCAAGAGATTAATTGACTGATGCACATGCTCCTCTAATCTATTTCCTAACTCCAGTAAAGCCAGCTCCCAAATACCAGTGTCAAATGCAACACCCCTCCATTATAGAATGACACAATATTCAATACCAAATAACAATATTCAGAAGTGCCTCCACGTTACCTTGTGAAGTTATTGTTGCAATCGGGAGAGTTTTTGTGGAGAGGCGAGGAAAAAGTAGTTCACCACTACATATCACTCAGTCAGCGGGACAATTCCAGCTCTTCCAATCACAGAAACTCAAGATAATGATAAAAATAGCAACTGGCAGTCTGAACTAAGAACTCGCTCTCCAACCTATTCTGCAATGTTTTGCTATCACTAGCGGGTCACGTGGCCGCCAGCAAGCTTCCTGTATCAGTATCTTCACTTACTCTCCTTTTCTGGAAAGGTCAGCAACAACTCCGAACAGGGCTGACGACAAGTTCTGAGTCATTTTAAGACAACGTGCTTGATGAGAGATGCCTCATTATTACAGACTGCAGAAAATTACCTTCTAACTCTTTTCCTCCAACTGAGGCAACACTACCAACAAAAAGAACTAAGGCCAAAGAACCTTAGAAAACAGCATCAAAAGCAATAGAAAATGTCTTAAATTTTGACAAGATATTAACTTACGCATAGCATTTTCTCTGTTTAATTTTATATTACCAAATTGCAGCAAAAACAGCAAATCAGAAATGGTATTTAATGTGAATTGACAGAAACCAGTACTATATACCTCCAAAAAATTAATCTCACTAAAACTAACACAAATAAGAAAAAGACAATACTCTATATATACACCATTAGGAAGATAATGTAACACTAAGCACATATTACTAGCTGGAACTGAAAAGGGAGGCTCTATATTTTGCTATACTAGTAGAAACGCAGAATCCATTTTTAAAAAGAACAATTTTCACTTGCTTTGAATTAACAAGAGCCTGTTGTTTGTTCATCAGAATATTTTAAATTCAATGTACCTACCTTTTTCTCCAGCCGCTTGTTAAGAATTCAATAGTTATCTGTGTGAGTACTGTGTGAGTTACTATATTAATTTTCTAAAAAAGCATAGCAAACAGAGACACTCCCCTAGACACAGTATCTTCATCAAGCTATTCAGTTCCCCAAAGCGTCCGGCACCTTCCTCCTGACCCCCAGCTGTAATAAATCAGTTGATTGCGCAGCAACTGGGTCTCTCTCTAAGTGCTGCTTTGGGGAAAACACCTCTGAACAACAAAGAAAAATTTGTTCTAATCGTTGAACTTTGTTGAGAATCGTTGCTTCTTTGTTGAGAAGCAGCATACCTCCCAGGGTCCTGCAGCTAATTTTTGAAGTTGAAAAGTTATATTAAAACCTAAGCGTATATTTTTAGTTTTGGCAATTTTATCATTTTAAAATTCTCTGAAGGGTGGTTCCCTACTGCCATATGCTTCTGGTTGACAACTTTGCTTACCCTTGATACTTTAAAGATAACAGATGGACCTACAGAGTTAGGCTTCTTGTCATCAATATTTTTTTTCAATAAAGAAACATTAGGGAAAACAGATTTTCCTGTATTACTCCTTTCCTTTTAATCATTCTCCACATTATTCCTCTGTAAAGCGTACTCCCTCTAAAATCAAAAGTAAAATAACCTGTTTTGCCAAAGGAAGCAGCAGCACTACCACACCTTGGCTCCAGGAAACTGCAATCAGGGAAGAACTCAACTGAGCAGCAGCCTTCCCACACAAAAACACCGATACTGCGAGACAAAGGACAACCACGGCTCCTTTAACAAAAATAGGAACACTTCAAAACACATCTAGCACTTCAGGGCTCCCTGCTCAGCCATTCCCGAGTGAGGCTTTCTCCCCGGTGCCCCCAGGCACAACAAGTGGGGCCTGCTTACTACCTTAAACGTACTTCGTTCCATCTGCTTTCACGCCGAGCAGAACTAAACACATTACATTTATAGCAAACAAAAACATGTCCCAAAAATGACAGCGATCACCGGAGGTTATCTGTGTAGAACCGAGCAACGATCTACTAGAAAGCTGAATTTAAACCACCTTGGACACGGCACCTTTAAAGGGAAAGCCCCTGAACAAACAAGATCACGCGAGGGACAGTACTGAAGAGAGGATACATTTCAAAGACGGTAATTTGCATTATTAAATCAGCGAACAAAGTACTAAAAAAAGGTGACCTCCACCTTCCTACCGCCCCACACAGCCGACTAGGTGAGCGTGACTCCCGGATCCCCCAGACCACCTTCACCGGGCTGCTCCTCGGATTCAAGGGCGGGGGGCAAGCAGTCCAAATAAAACCATTTCCTAAAGTCCTTTCAAAAACGCATATTAAAAAAAGTAAAAAAGTAATCTCAGACTGATTTAAAGAACACGCTGACCCTACAGCAGCCACCGGCTCCTCTCCTCGCCCCCCGGCCAGGCTTCCCCTGGGCAGGGCTGAGCACGCAGCTCCTCAGGCAGACAAAAGGAGCCGCGATCTCGCATTCCTCCGCGCCCGGCGGGGCGGGGGGCGCCGGCCCCCGGCGGAGACAAAGTCTACTGCCCGCCCCGGGCCGGCGGGCCGCCAGGCAAGGCCGGGGCAGAGGGGGGGCTGCCCCCCCCTCCCCGCCTCGTCCCGCCGAGACATGTGGCGGCCGCTCCGGGGCTCCTCCGCGGGGCGCGGAAGGGGTGGAAGGAACAGCGCGGGGGCACCCCCCACCATCTCCCAAACCGCCAGCGGGGCGGCCACGGCGGGGTGGGGGGCCGTGCCCCCAGGCCCTCCCGCCGAGGGGCGGCGAGGCCTGCGCCAACCGCGGGGAACAAAGGAGCGGCCGACGGCGGCGAGAGGAGCCCGCCCGACTCGCCAGGGCCGCGGGGCGGCCGGGCCACCTCAGGCCGTGAGGGCCGGCGCAGCCTAGGCCGCGGCGGGCGCACTCACCGCTGCAGCACCAGGAGGAAGGCGAGCCCTGCGGGAACTTGGCCGAGTCGGGCGCGATGCAGACGCTGGAGCCGAGGTGCGGACACTCCATGGCGGGCGAGGCGGCGGGGCGCGGCGCGGCGGGGCGGGCGGCTCCTCTCGGCGCTACAGCAACGGCGCCCCGCGCACAACAGCCATCTTAGGGCCAGCCTCGCGGATCCGCGCGCCGGGCTTTGCGGGCAGCCGCGCCCCAGCGGCTCCCTCACCCCGCCTCCCCGCCGCACCGCCGGGCTTTCCGAGGAGCCGGCCTCCCGTCCGGCGCTCCGCCCGCCGGGCTTTCCGCGCTGCCGCCGCTTCCCGCTGCGGGGCGGAGGGAGGCCCCGCTCCGGCAGGGTCGGCCCGCGGCTGAGGAGAGTGAGGGGAGGCGCGGCTGAGGGGCCGCAGGGCGGCCCGGGCAAGGACCGCGGCCCCGCGGGGCTCCGTCCCTCTCGCCTCTCAAACTCTCCGCCGCGGGTTTCCGCACCCGAGCGCGGTGCCAGGCCCGAGCTCCGCTCACAGAAACGCGACAGAGCTGTACATCTGAGGGGAGGCCCCATGAAACTGGCGTGTGGTGAGGCAGACGCGGCGTTCAGGCCTCTGTTCCCTGAGACCCACTGCCCCAGTGAGAGCTTGTCTGCAAAAGCGCCCTGGTTTAACCTCTCCCTGCAGACGAGAAGTCATCTTTTGTCTCTGCTGATTATTTGCAAATACCTTCGCCTCACACCTTATTTTTTAAAGAGTTACCTCGCCTCAGATTCAGCTACCGAGCTTATGCTTCTATGACTGTAACATTTAAGTTAAGTGGTAATAAAAGTACAGATGATGTGTTACAGCTTTTCCAGACAGTGCGGAATAACAGCTCTATGGCTGAGCAATCTGCATGCTTACCCTGAACCCATACAAAATTCTACTGAATATACTCACTTCCTTTTTCAAATTTAGCAAAATAAAGTCCACCAACATAACACCTGAAAAAGTGGGGATTTTTTTTAATCTAAGGAACTGTGACGACTCCTGCATATTGGGAGGTTTAGACCTTTCCTCTCACCGTAACTAATGTGAGAAATAGAGTTTTGTCACTGTTTTTGCCTGTTGTGTGACCTGCATATAGACACAAAAAGCATCTCAATGTATTTTACATGGCACAGCACTATTTTATAGAAGATTATCTTAGAAACCAACAGCTCTGTATGGATTTTCAGATGAGACACTTTAAATATTCATATCAAAGATGCCATGGTGGTCACAAATCTCCTTGGTAGAACATTGTTCTTTACCCTCTTTGTTCTTTTTCACCGTGTTTACACAATGGGGGGAAATTCAGAGCATGAAAGATCCAATTTTCCACAGTGTTAGAAACTACTTTGACTATGCTCAGCAGAGTTAGTTTTATTTCTAGCTGTGTAGTTAGAAGCAGAATTAGTTCATAGATACCAAACTGTGAATTAAATGGCTGCAATGTTATCATCTTGACACAAAACCTTCCTCACATATCCACTGTCCTTCAAAACTGTCTTATTTGATCCATCAGCTAAGTAACATTCCCAGCATATATTTCACAGGTTCTGAGAAGGCATGTATTTCTATCGTTTTCTAATAAATATCATATAAATAGAGCAAAAGTGAATTGGGAGGACAGTATTTTAAAGATTGTTTCATACAACACAACTTTGATGTACAGCAAAGAATTACTTGTACATGTTTAAGGAGCAAAAAGGTGGTCATGTCATCGTGTTTATATATTAGCCAAGGGGTCCTTTTGTTTTTTCTCTACCCTCTGCCACAATATATAATGAAGACATAAATTAAAGCAGCAGTTTGACTGCAGTTGCTTTCTGTCTTTTCTAACCAATGCATACGTTTAATTTTCGTCATGCCCCACCCATCCTTGCACACAAACAACAAGAAGGAAACCTCAGTTGGATCTGCCCTTCTCTTTGCCCTTCCCCAGCAGCTTCACTCCGCCTTCTCACAGTAGTATTTTGCAACCGGAGTTTAACCAAAGCAGTCAGTTCTTACCTCACTGTGTGGATTATGCTAGCAGTATACTTACTCTTTCAGAAGCAAAGAACTGGTTAATAAGGATTAAATATGGTAAAATAAACATGTTTAAATACCTTTAATTATCTACTTGTATTTTAGCACTCGCATTCATGACTTTACAGTTGGTATAATATACCTGGAGAGAAAAACCAACTCCTTTTCTAAGTAAATAGAACCAAGGCCTGTCTCAAAAGAGCAGTGTCTCCTCACAGAGTCACTGGAGCTGAACCCCTCCTGTATGAACTATTACATCTCCACTAAAGGCCATGCACTGAAACCACTAGAGCTACGATACCTTACATTAGAACTGTTTTTATAAGCATAGCCATGTTGGAAGAGTATCTTCTGGCAAGATACTCACAGATCCAAGTATGAGGTAAGAATCAATAGGGGACGGTCATCTTGTTTCCCCTAGGCCCTCATGGATTTAACAGAATTACAGTCTGAATGGGATAGTGGCTAAGAGTGTTACAATTTGGGTGGGGGGGTGGTGGTGGAGGGCTAGTAGCATCTTTAAGAGAAGAAAGGCATGACCCATTGCAGCAAACTGTAATGAACACAGCAGACTATGGAAGAAAAACATCCTCAAAAATGTCTAGAGATACAAGGGCTATTTACTGCTTTCTCTTAGAGTTCCTCTTTTTAGTCCAGAAGGCTGCAAGCTTAAAAGACTTCTCAAAGAAAGAAAAAAAAACAAAAAACACATTACTTTGGTTTAATTTAAGAGGCCTTTGACCATCATCTATTACCTTTATTTTAAGACGCAACTATTCAACTTGCAATATTATGCACAAAGAAAAATGTCCTTTCTCCCCTGCTGTGGAGTTATTAAGATCCCCAGAACAAAAGAACAAAGGTGCTTGGAATTGCAAGGAGGCTGGGAGGGACTGCCTAACTCTGCTAAGCACAGCACTTCCCACAATGACAGGCACCAGTTACAACTTCTCTGGGGAGCATTTAGCTATGAAAAACTACTGAATAAAAAGGCATCAGCTTATCAAGATAGGCCCTTCAGCTGCCATCCCTCATGTTTCATGTTTAGGAGCCAAAACCATCCACACTATGACACTTTGTTCCTTTGCAAGATTATAACAGAGGTTTATTCCTCCTTTCATTTGTGGGTTGACAGCCATTCAGTGAAACTCTTTAAACAGTGTAATTTTGCCCAAAAATTTGCATGGGTTTTTTTGTTTTAGTTGTCATGCCCACAGCAAGTGTGGCAGCCTTTACATTTTTTATCCGGTTGCCAAGATAAATACTTAAATAAGGATGATTGAATCTGTTAGGGAGTCAGGATGCAAAGCAGCTATCACATGTGAAGACGCATAAGGACAATTTAGAGCAGTAAGTATATTTGTAGTGCAGTGTCTTTGCCTACTGAAAATAATTGATCAATAATGCAAGTCTTTGAGCACTCGGATCTCAAAAGCACTACTACAACAAGGATAGTTTTAAGTGGCTTGCAGTGAGACATGCTGAATGCAGAGCAAAACTGGAGTAGAAGCTCTTGATGTGATTTTCCTTTTCAATTTGCTTTTTCAGTAAGACTCCTTGAGTACAAATCACTTGATTTGGAACTGGAGTCCCATCTTTTGCTCCCATCCTTCCTCAGATGAGAGTAATTTATATGATAGCTAAGATAAATCCTATTGGCATGCTTATAATGGGTGTGATCAGTGCAGAACAGTAGCTTACAAACTAGCATTAGAAGTTAGAAATTTGTGTCTACCACAACAGAGAGATTCCACACAACATCCTCTTGTGGGACATATGTAGACATCCATCTATGCTATAGACTCCATCGAGAGCCCTGAATTGGTATCTTGCATGGATACTAACAATTTACAGTGGGGAAGTTTGCCTGGAGGGTTCGTTAGTTATGTTTTATCTCTCAGAAATAAAATCTGTGGTTTTAAATATTTGAAAATATTAACTTGCCTCCCTTATATCTGTATTATGATACGGCCTAATGACGCAGTAGCAGAATTTTCCACGTGATCTTGGCTTCCTTCAAAATCACTAGAGGAACATCACTCAGTGGATCAAGTGAAGCAAATGTTGCCTTAGATGACTTCTTCATTTGCTGGAGAAACTGGAGAGCGTGGAATGAAGAAGGGACAAACCTGAAGAACTATAATCTAATTCAGTCTTTGTCAGGCACTACATGCCAATCCAGAGCTACGAGAAACTTGATAGATTGGCCTTTCACTTCTTATTTCCCAAAGATATGAAAAAGTGAAACATTCAGCTATGATGGCGATGGCAATGGAGACGACACAGAAACCCACCACGAGGAAATAAATTTTTTACTTAGTGCAGATGCAACTCTGAGGCAGACAACTGGCATGGAAAACATCAACAGAAAGCGTCAGAATAGAGGTAAATTCTAATACAGGGTCTCAGCTTAATAAAAGCTTTTCTAGAGGCTGGCTGAGCAGCTCTGTGAGCTATATGCCATCTCTGCAGCAGGCAGAAGCTTAGCTGCGTGCATATGTGTACGAAAGTAAGCTACAGCACATTAAATACCACAAGCACATTTCCGGCAGCATGTTGTCTCATTAACAAATCTATTTCCATTTCCTGCACATCCTTTGAAAATAAAGGTCACATATCTTTTCAGTGTTTGATCATAACACCACAAGTAACTTCCTTTACAAGGGTCAAGATTATTCTCTAAAAGGCAAGATACCCAAGATGAAGGGCAGAAATTTAAAACTAGGCAAATGCCCAGAGCAAGCATCTGTGACACTATTTCAAATGTAAGAGTAAAGCATGTAAATAGGCGTGACTCCCTTCAAAGCATATCCACGACACTTCTGCACACATACCTTGAGGGGGCGGTGTGACACCAAGTACTGTGCAAAGGTACCAAGGGACAGACGTCATCTTCATTCCCCCTGCTTACACAGTCACGGTAAGAAATTACCTGAAATTCTGCTTCCATTGGATTAATGGGAATGGGGAGGGACTCTTGATCAGGGAGTGGAGCGATACGACAAGGGTTAATGGTTTTAAACTCAAAGAGGGGAGATTTAGATTAGATATAAGAAAGAAATTCTTTACTGTGAGGGCGCTGAGGCACTGGAACAGGTTGCCCAGAGAAGCTGCAGCTGACCCATCCCTGGAAATGTTCAAGACCAGGCTGGATGTTCAAGACCAGACTTTGAGCAACCT